GCAAAAAACCTTTTTCAAAAAGGGCTCCATGTCCTGAAAGGCCTTCCTGGTTAGCATCTTTTTCTCTTTCGAACGAAATGCCATACCTATCCGATCGCAACCAGTGCCGCCTTTAAATGAAAATTTTATGAAACAGTAAACATTGCTACTTGATTTTGAACACTTTTGTTGTTTTTCAATGGATGGTTCTCTATTTAGATGGTTATTTACACGAATGGTGTGTCGAAGACAGCTGGAAGAAATGTGTGAATGCGATTCAATCATTCCGCCCATGACCATTACCCTAATGGCCATCGCTAAGAGATCATTCCCTATTTTACATAGGAGGCAGGTACGGAGGAAAAGTTTTGCAGCACTTTTACATTGACCATTCGATACTGTATAAGAGTTTCTGCAACTGTTTTCAGGTACCGGATAAGGAGATGTTGAAAAAAGCATGGCTGTATGCCCAAAGACAAAACTGGGCGAGTCCCAATGTCTTGCATCTCATTGATCACTGTAACAGAGCGGGAGCACACAAGTCATGGTTTGAGGTAATTCTCAGTGTTTGAAAATCTTTGTATGTGCATGCATTTGAGTAGCTCTTTTTTATGCTTCCCTATCAGCAGTACTGATTTTATCAGCTGTCGACCGTTTTTTGACATTTTGCCACTCAACTCGGGATTTACCTCTGATCCAATTCTTTCTTGCAATTATTCTTTTGATAAAAGGATAAACGGTTGATTATCAATCAGAAACTTATTTACAGTTTTATATGCATCACATGATGAAACTGAGGTGTCCTGATGTGATGAACCGTGCCATAGAAACTATATGTGCATGTCTACTGTTAGAACCTCAAGAAACACTTATCACCGCGTGTGTGGTACGTTTACATTTTTTAAAAGTAGTAGTGTGATGATGAAATCCATTAAGTTCAGCTGATGGTGGATTTTATGATGGACAAGAAAGGTCAAGTACAGTTTGAGGTACCATATGTTATTCCGTTAGTCAAACTGCTTACACAGGTATGATTTTTCTTTTATCTCATTATTTTTGATGTATTGTACAGGCATATTCAGGTGATGCTGATGTCAGTTTGGATCATAGATAGAGAGTACAAGAGGGTGAATAACTGGAGAAGTAGCGAACCAAAGCAGAAAAGAGCGAGAATGTCAGGGGAAGCTCAGAGTAAGTGCTTGTTCCTTGCTTCCGCCACCACTATTAAAGCTTAATATTTAGTTCATCCGTCAATAAGAATATTACAAGAAACAGTGGAAGTCGCGATCAACAAATTTGTAAAAGAATCTAGTCAAGGCAGGTTTCACATTTTAATTTTATTGATGTGATATTGAGGTAATTTCCATTAACATTACATGATTTCAGGGTCGCTCTACCAACCTATAAGTTCTGTGTGTCATATCGTTCGGATGATTGCAAGTGCACCAGAGAGTGAGGCCAAGCAATTGCTTCTACCCTATTTAAAGCATTTATTGGTAAGTATCAAGTATTTTTGCAATAAGGTTTATTCGTGTCATTATGAAAGATAAGGAATGAAGCGCTTTCTTGATTTCCCGAGAATTGTAGTGGTGTTTGAACGGGAGTTGTGCCTGTACAATAACTTCTGAGACTTTCCGGTATGCAAGCCAGGGTCTGACCATACGAGCTTGGTATTAGTTAGCCGTACCCGGAGTGATGGGGGACTGATTGATTTGATTCTTGCATCACGTATGTGAAGCCACTTGCCACTACTCTACCTCTTTCCCTGAGCTAACTGTTGCTTCATTGATAGGCTATATAAGTACAGGGTGTGGCGAAATAACCAGCGCATCGATTTTCTACTCTAACGTTTCAGAAATGAATCTAAGGTTTCAGAAATGAATTCGAATCATAAATAGCATTTATTACGAACATTGCAATCCAAAACGGGTAATAGCGGTTCCCGAAACAATCCTGGTAACCTTCTGAAACCATGGATTCATTCCCATACCGCACAGGTCTATTGGTTATCTCACAAGGGAAGGATCCAGGTCGAAGTGGCCATTTGTAACGAGACATACACCACTAGATGTGTTTTTGGACGCTGATCTCGAATCTGCTCTCCAAATCTGCGAAACGATTCTCTGAACGTAGTTATGAAGCGAGATAGTGCAGTGGCAGCGGCCCGGGCCGACGGCAAGAGGTCGTGGGATCGACTTCTTGGCGAGTTCTCACTTTTGCTTTTCTTGAAAACGTGAGATATCGCCAAGAATTCGATCCCACGACCTCTTGCCGTCGGCCCGGGCCGCTGCCACTGCATTATCTCGCTTCATAACTACGTTTGGAAAATCGTTTCGTAGATTTGGAGAGCAGATTCGAGATCAGCGTCCAAAAAACACCTAGTGGTGTATGTCTCGTACAAACGGCCACTTCGACCTAGGATCCTTCCCTAGTGAGATAACCAATAGACCTGTGCGGTATGGGCATGAATCCATGGTTTCAGAAGGTTACCAGGATTGTTTCGGGAACCGCTATTACCCGTTTTGGATTGCAATGTTCGTAATAAATGCTATTTATGATTCGAATTCATTTA